GGTTGACAATATAATCCCTTTTCACATCTGCTTAGAATCTCACATCAGTGAGATTTAGTCCAAGCTGAGTATGCAACAGACTTCAGTTATGTTATGTTCATTGCTTCCAATTGTACAAGATATATCCCACAATGGAACAGGAATATATACTCTGCTCTGCAGACTCCATATAGGTGTTAATTTCCACAAGTGAACACTTCTGTCCTGTAAAAAAAAAAAAATGCCTCGATTTCACTTTTAAAGGGCAGAGAAAATTAAAAGTCTGTCTAGCNCAATGGGTGTTCAAACTTGACAGCTTTAAGACTTGTGGACTTCAACTCCCAGAATTCCTCCTCCAGTCATGTTGGCTCAGGAACTCTGGCATTGAAGCACACAAGTCTTAAAGCTGTCAAGTTACAAGACCCTTGCACCCCTAACCCTTTAGAAATAAAACCCTAGAGGTGTTCAAACTTGACAGCTTTAAGACTTGTGGGCTTCAATTCCCAGAATTCCTCCTCTCTCTTTATCTTGATGATGTGCGGATGGGTGGGGGAGGGAGCTGGAACCGATTCTAAACGGCACTGTAGATTTGTGGAACCTCTTCTATAGAAGAGGTTAGAACTGGCAGGAACCCACCCCGATCTATGCCATGAAACATCTATTGATTTTCACAGTCCCCAGTCTTGAGTAGTGGATAGATCTCAAGCATGAGAAATGAGAAAAAAAGTTTTAAAGAAAGAGTGGAAAACAACTGCAAAGCCTAGAATACAGACTCTTAGCAGGCCACAGAAAACATCTTGAAGCTGTTGTTTCTTCCAAAGGAAGTGCTATAAAGCACTGATTGATGGGGTTTCCAAACCTCTATAACTGCCACAATTCTTTTTTTTTTTAAAAAAATTCAGAGATATAATTTACTGAAGCATATAATTTGGCTACAGCTCCTTAAACCTTTGCATGCAATTATTGTTTTCTGAAAATAATGGGTTATCAAACCACAGAATGCAGCCAAGTTGTTTCCTTGACTATTTGGGCTAGTTTTGTGCATTGATCAATTAGGCCTTCCATCTTTTCTTTTTCACCAAGGTTTATAAGATTATTGTATTTGAAATAGAATGAAAGAAAACAGTGTTGGCACCACAATTAGCCCAATGTTTATACGCACCTTCAAGCTCTACTTCTATGGTCATGTTTAAAATATGTTGATGAAGAAATGATGGTTATGGAACAAATTTGTATCTGGTAAGAAAGATAAAGTACAGAATGTGGAACCACAAATGGCAAGGCTGGAGAATGATTTTACAAAGGATGCTTTCCTAGATACATACAAGAAGCCGATTGAGCAAATTAAAGAAAAAATACAAATGATAAACCATGACAATGGCCTGGAAAACATTTTCTTATTAACCTACAAAAGAGGCTTGTTTTGGTGAAGATTATGTAACTTGTGTGGATGACTAAATCAACTTCTTTGATTAGAGAAAAAATAAAATATATACTCAAACTTGATTGAAGCCCTTTATAGACCACCTTGCATAAACTGACACAAAATGCATTTGTGACTCTGTGTGTGTGTGTGTGTGTATGTATACAAAATATGTGCAGTGGGATAAATAATTGAAATAATATCCTATAACAGTTCAATTGAATTAAAAATTAAAACTGTTGACAGTAAAAGGTAGGAATATAAGGTTGGTTTATGTGATCCAGGTTAAAATACCCCTTTTCCCAATGTTCTGCTAACCCTTTATTGCCAGGATTAAATGGATTTGCTTATAGATAAAAGATGGGATACGGGATGAAGGGAGATGTGTTTAATCTTGTAGAGGGTGAGGTGTTATTAAATTTGTTTATACTTGTGAAGGTTAGAAGTGACATCTTTATATATTTTTATGTTCTTTCCTTTTCAGCGTCTTCTTTTTCTCTTAAGTTTTGGGCTGTATTAATTTTTATTGTTATAATTAAAAAGTCCTTAGATTCTCTTCTAGACCTGTTTAAGAAGGATCATATTTAATTTTCCCATTAATTTTCTTGGATCAATAAAATGGAAGAAATATTAAAGCATCAAGTGAAGAGTGATCACCGTTAAAGCAAATATAGTGTTTCAGCATTCTGATAGTGTTAATACTAAAACCACCAGCAATAACAGCAGAATCAAAAAGCAGCAATGTCCGATCCCATACATGATCCATAATGTTTCTCAGCTTTTTTTTATAATTGTTGAGGGATACAAACCATTTTCAAAAAGTTTAACATCATCAATATTAATAATCTCAAAATCCAAAGATTATTGCTTTTGCAGTACATCCAACTGTATTCCAGGAAATCGGGATCTGTAGATCTTCATATTACTTCAAGACTCTACTAAACTGAAAAAGAGCCATAAGCTAGTTTCATTTTTAAAATTTTTATCTTTTGTCCTAATTCATTTGCAAATTTCATCTTGACACATTTTGTTGGTTATTCTCCAAGTTCTTCTAGACTACTAATAGTCTTCTGCAACTGTTTTATCAGCTGTTCTCTATTCCTGTCCATTAAATGGGTTGTATGATTTGGAGTGATTTGCCCTAACAAGCTTCCTCTTACAGGTAGCTACATGGAAGTATACAAATATTTGCTTTCTAATATTATATCTGCTCCATCTGTTCCTTCAGGTTCCTTGCCTGAGAACTGGCAAAGCAACATTTTAACTGGGAGAGATTGTGTATAGAATCATCAAGGAACAACTGTCAACCTTCAAAGACTTTCAGCTTTGGTAATAAACTAAAAAAAGTTGTTTAACACATCTGTTCCTGAAAATCTGAAGAGGCAATTTTTAAAACATTTGGCATTCTAGATGCCATGTTACCTGATTCTGTATACTTTTACAGTTCTCTTTCTTGGTAAACATTTGAGCATTTAAAATAAAATTGTGCTACATCACTTGTCCTTAGAAATGTTTCTATCTTTTTCAAATTAAGTTGGGACATTTCACAATGTAAAAGTTAGCTTAAGGAAAAGATACAACTACTTTTCAAACAGCCTTACCTTCCTTGGTTGACATATTTGACATGAAGTGCAAGCCTGAGGTATCCTTTGTATTAGAATTGCAGATACTTTGACAACTTTATCACCCATATGTATATCCATTTTTCTGTTGTAGTGCAATTTAGTGGGGCAGGTTGGTATCTTAAATTGCAACTAGGAAATTGAGAGTATCATTCATTTCATAATGTGGTTATAACAAATTTTACATGTTCTTTTAACATATTCAATGTTTTTATGGGGTGTCCTGAATTTCTTTACAGCCTGAAATGTTTCTCTATTTGCTTACTCGACTTCCGATCTTATTTATTTCAAACAAATACAGATGAGGAGGAGGAAGAAGAAATAATCAGTTAACAAGTGTGCCAGTAGAACTTTTGAGGAACATCTGAACATTTGAACGTTGAGGAGTTCTGATAAGCAAAAGACTTTATAAGTGGCCCTTATCCTTTTCAAAAATAAATATTATTATTAAAACATCTGTGGTTGGCTGGGCTTGAGGACATTTCCTCTGTTCTATTACTAAAGCTAATGTATTTACACAAAGGATGAACACTTGCTAATGCAATAATAGAATGTAAATATATCAACCATGAACTTGGGAAATACCAATGATTTTATAGTTTGAAATGGTTACTTCAGACTTTCAAAGGTTACCATTGAAAAGTTAAACTTCAATGCTCTTTTAATTGCTCTTATAAAAAGCAAAATATAAGGAAGTCAGATGACATCAGTATACGTATACGCCCACGCCCTTGTGCAAACACCGACACTCACATCGAACAGAACTCAACCACAGAGAAATATACATACAAATTCCTATTGTTTATACAATTTAAAAAATACACAAAAAAGCCAACTTTATTACGGGGCTTAGATCTGTACTAATACAGAACGTAAATCCTTGACTATGTTTTTTATTCTTGCCTTCTCATCCCCACTTCTCAGTGGCACTAATGAATGCAAAAAGTATAATTATTGCTTCAGACCAAGATGAAAAAGCAGAGAGATAAGCTCTCTAGAGACATACATAATAGAAAAACACGATTGGACACCAATCACCATACATTTCCACTTGCTGAGCAGGAAACCTATTTATATCTAACTGCTATTAAGCAATGAGTGTTTTATTTGAACCTTGATTATTTAACTTTCATTGTCAATATATTACTCGAGAGAACTGGTAATCTTGTTTTTGAAATGCCTAATTATGCAACTAATTTAGCTATCTCAAAGCCATCCAGAGAAGGAAGGAATATGTTGTCATTTTCAGAGTTCACAACACCGTGTTCACAACACAGCAAATAAACAATGGAACTGAAATGCAATTCTTTTTGACTGTTCTTAGAATAGAAATAAACGTCACATCCATTAACATAACAAATTCAACAAAATATTAATCTACTTATTATATAGTAAAATACTATAAACTTTAGATGAATTAAGTATCCTGATAGGACAATAACTACTGGCAATATTATTTGGTTTAGCTCACTTCTATGATACTAGTTATAAGCATACAAGTTATTACACAAGATATTATTTTTTGAGACTATTCAGTCTCAAGATGTTGAAAAGAATTATGAAACCAAATGAATTCATGAAACATGTTTTGGGCAAATCCAATCAAATAGATATAAAAAGTAGCATCATAGAATTCAGGCAAAAGTAACAGGAGCAGCCATACATAGAAAACTATGTAAGTGGACTAGTTTTTTTTTTTTTTTTAAAGAATGTACTTGCATCTTTCCTGAAAGTAATATGTAACGAAGAAGAAAACTGCAACAGATGAAATTCATTTATTAGTTTATTGCTTCTATTTGCCTTGAACCTTCTATCCCACTTGTGCTTTCATTTGAACACTCAAGCTGATTTTAATTTGGTTTCTGGGATAGCTTTCTGCATATCATTTGCATGGCTGCTCTTTCCACTTCTGCCATTTGTCACTGGTTTAAGGTCTTCCAATTTTGCTTCCCCTTGAAAAATGCACAAGACTCAAAGGCTGTTCAACAGATTTACTCAGAATGGACTCTTAGATGCGTAAGGGAGGCAAGGGGGGAAGGCACAGATTAAAAGACTCTTGTGGCTCCTGAACACAGCATATGTAGGGTTTTGCTTCTGGCAAGCCAAAAGAAAATATATACTGCTATGAATTATATGAGTTAAGAAATTCAAATGTTTTACCTTGCCGTAATTAATTGCCTTCATTAAAATAAAATTTGAATTAAATCTCATAATATAAACATATGAAATAAAGTCAACTTCATGAGGATTTTTTTTTATGTAGGGTCCTCAGCATTCACTGCAACTTCTCCTGATACATTTACTAGTGTTCCAATAGATGGGTAATGGTGAACCGCACACATTCAAAGATTTCTCAGTGCACTATAGCAGTGGGTGAAATCCATCTGGTTTCTGTGCTGGCAATACCAGTCAAAACACAGGAAAGCCCGAGAGAGCTTGCAGCTGGATGCATTCAGATGTAATCGTCCTCTACTGGCTCTCCATTAACATCACAGTAATGGATGAAGATAGCAACTACCCTCTGGAATACCCCTTTCTTCATCTGACGGAGTTCAGAGATCTCTTCACCTATCGTTTCCATGCAGATATCTGCTGACAGTTGTCCTTTTCTCCGGGGAGCATAAATAGTAGCTAATTTTAGATGCAAAGAAAAAGAGAATGGAAACAAATGCAATTGTCACTAGAATGACATAATAAATGCTAAATCAGGCATACAAATCCATATTTAACAATGTATCATACAAAAATAGCTTCCCATTGAAAAATTAATAACATTATGATTTGAATTATGAGATATATAAATGTCCTTTTAAAGCCCAGCTTGATTAGATCTTTTCCTTTCTTGTTGGGCTTCAATGCCACTTGAAGCCAATATGTCATATAAAGTATTTTCATATATACCTCTATAGAATTTGAAAAGATACAAGTACAGTCTAGAATGCCTTCCTACACTTTAGTACTCTAAAATCCTTTCTCAATTAACCATGGGGGGAGAGGGGGAATCCATAATTGACATATTGCTACAGGGAAAAAAACTTACAAATACCGTAACTGATTTAGAAAACTAAAAGAAAAAAACTAGGATATTATGCAGAATTCAAAAACAAATGCGTTCTTTATCCAAAACTAAACATCTTCATATTCTGGACTTCATATTGCACTAGCTACAAGCATTCCTATATAAGTTACCCAAATTCATCTAAAGCCATAAATTGCTGCAGCCAGATTTGGCTTCTTTAGGAAGGTCAGCTGATACCGCAACAGGCAAGCAGGGCAGCACACATAACTAAAACAGCAGACTGGAACTGCTATTCCAAAATTTGCTTTAACTGATGCTTTAAAGTTAGCTAGTGAATAGCTAGCAAGGATAGCATTCTACAACATGGACACATGTCCTATCAATTCCTTCACAAATAAGCTTGCCAATTTGATAATGAAGGGAAAATATCCTCTAACATTCCAGAAGTCAGGTTATAGAATAATGGATATAAATTACAGAAAGGCAGTTCCTGCAGGCAAAATGCCCTAAGTGCAATTCACCATGGAGTCATTTACCAGTTAAGTGATGAGAACCTTTCCCAGGCTTTGCTCAAGCCAAGTTTAGACAATCATCTACTGTGGCTATAGATGCTTTGATCTAGATTTTGAAATAGAGAGACTCCATAGCCTAAGTGAACACTTCAAACTCTGTTACTGCTATGGAAGTATTTAAAACAATTACATGAATAAGAAATACACAGGTAAAGATATTCCCTGTAACACTGTAACTATATTACACTTTTGTTTAAAATGAAACTACATAACTGTATAATGCTTCAGGTTCCCTGGTAAACACAGGGCACTCAAATGTTTACTTACTCCTTTCATCATCTTCAAAATCATATCTTGCATAGCCATTAGGATCAGCTGTCCTCAGGGACCTCAACCATGGAAAATCGGTTATCATTGAATAGGGAGCTCCATCCACAACACCTACAGTTTAACAGCCAGAAAATAGGTCTCTGAACTTCTTTTTTCAATTGAAATAAGTTTGCTTTGCCTACAACTGTCTTAGGCACTTGTTGAAGCAGCATTCATAAAATAAGACAGATATTTGGTAATTTGCAAGTTATACACAATAGAATGAGGAGACATACTAGTTGCACCTCTTTTGTATATCTGACACATTTATAGGTGAAACATGGCCTACATATACGTTCTATGCCCTTTACATTATGTGTGCCTGTGGCACACGTCACTTTTAACAGAGAAGTCTACCACTGGGAGGAAATTGTTCCTCTCCTGTGCTGTCATTTTGTTCTGCTGAACTGTACTGAACTAAGGATATCAAAATGTTTTTAATACCATATGCATATTATCCATATGTCAACTGAAATTTTTCTTCCTGCAGACATTTCACATTTTCATCATGAAAAATAAATTATGTTTAAAATATAATTTATATTTAAATATTTACATATTTAAATTTTAAATTTTAAATGTAATTTATAATTTAAAAAAATTTATAAAGCCAGAATGAGCTATTTTTTGTTGTCTAACATATAGGCTATAATTTGAGAATCTTTTCTTAAGAAATTTTTATAACTGCTTTCAAGTTCTCTGTAATACCTACCTTCTAGAGTGTAAATATCTCTTCCCCAAGGATATCTTGTATATTTTTTTAGATCGTCTTCTGTTCGTGTGGCTTCAGGAAAGAATTCATATTTAATAAGCTCTCTGAAGAACCAAATGAAGAAAACATATGAAAATAAATGAGATAGTTATCAAAAACAACCTAAGACATTGAAATTACAAATAGGACTTTCCCAAACTGACACTTTATAGATGTATCTAACTCATCATTCCCAGCTTCCTTCATTTGTTGGCAGTTGTTGGTCTTCAACTCCCAATCATTTATTCAATTTAGATCCATCATTACATAAGTAAATATTCAAGGTAATTGCAGAACACATAAGGGAATCAATTTGTTGACTACTCTTTCAGATAATAAAGTAACAAGTACAGTTGTGCTAGAGTGTGATTTAACCTTACTCCATGTGTAAAATATAAGCTGAAATAATTATTAATATAGTTATTCAGTCACAAACACACAGAAACTATATATGTATGTGTGAATTTATGTATCTATTGGCTCTTCACCCAGGGCTTTGGCAAGGAAGTGTGAGATCCCTCATTTCATCATGCAGGGCACATTTAATATTTAACTTTTATGTTTTATTGATTTGATTGTATTTTTTTTAATTGTAAGGTTGTAAAGTGCTCAGAATCATTGCAAACTGGGAAGCATACAAGTTTAAATAATAATACTACCACTACTATTCTTTCTAAAACTCCAAAAGAACAAAATCTTTCAAAAGATATCTGGCTTTAAAGACTGCCATTAATATAATAATTCAGGCTTCTTCTACCTGAGCCAAATCAGACCGTTTTATTTGGAAAAAAAATCAATCTTGAAGCTGGAACTCTTCTGTCCAATTCAATTCTGAGGAATGCGTATACTCACAAACAGAAACACAAACATAAATGTTTGGAATTAAAGAGCACATGGTTAGCTGACTTACTGATTGATATTTGCTATTGTGTCCATCCAGCTGCGAATCCGGACTTTATTGCGAACATTTGGAGGATTACTGAATTCATGAATGACACAGATATGATATGGATAAGGACCACTAAATATTTTTTGCTCAAGAGTCAGAGTGTCAACCTGTAAAATGGGGAACAACATCCTTGTAATAACAGAAAATAGCAAAATACATTTCTGCAGACAGATAATTTCAGTAATGTTTACCATAAGAACACTTTTGAAGATTTCTGAATCTATTTTACTAAACATGGCATAATTTAATTGTCCCTGTTGTGATGAGCAATAGATTCATGTGTCATTACCCCTCAAAAAAACCCCTATTCTATGATTCTATATTTTATTACTGATCTGATTTCCTCCAATACAGCATGTTTATAGAAGTGAGGAACAACATTTATTTAAAGGACATGTGGCCATTTTGGGTAATTTACCTGGGTTTGGGAAGTACTGATATAACAGTGCAACAAACATAATATGAATAAAAAATCTATTAAAATATTCCATTAAAGTCAGTTTATGCTAGTAGTCTTATGCTAAAAAGAAAAAATAGCAGAGTAT